ATTTTCTGATTAGTAAAAAAAACAGCATGTTAAAATTGTCTCTATATTTCGAAATGATCGAGACATCGCAAGCCGGACTGACCAGACCAGTCAGCATCTCTCGCTGGTCAAGTGAAAGAGAGTGAAATTGAACGTGGCCACCGATCAAGGTCACACGGTGACCTTCCCAATAAAGAAAGTATTTTTCGTAATGGCTTTTAAAATCGACCAAAAGCAGCCCCGGGCCGTAAGTGATTTGCATGTCGATCCATTAGTGTTCTCCGAATTCTCTCTGATTGCACCAAACTAGTTTAATGATTATTTGAGGATATTGGAAGAAGACGTGTAAAAATATACAGTGGGTGACAAAAAGTTTGCTTATAATGCCGGGTCTGGAGCAAAGCGATAAAAAGTAAACACGATTTTGAGACAAAAACAAAAAAAAAATTGAGACAAATTGTCCACACCGCAAGAACCAAAGACCAAAGTACAACAAAGTCAAAAGTTTAATTGTTGCGAATGAGTTTTATTAACCATATGTGATTTCACTGGTCTCCTACTAAGCAAAATAAAAACACATATACATATCACCACAATACACCAAAACACTTTTACACTGGACGCGCGTTTCGCTAACCATGTTAGCATCATCAGCAGATGATTATAAACTTTAGATATAATCATCTGCTGATGATGCTAACATGGTTAGCGAAACGCGCGTCCAGTGTAAAAGTAAAAGTGTTTTGGTGTAGCGTAGCAAAAAATACTAAGGAGTGAAGAAGCAGAAATAACTACTATCGAGGAAAATAATATCGCTTTATTTACTACAGACCAGGAAAACCTAGATTTATCAGAAAATAATATACCTCGTAATATGCCTGTATATGATGTATAGACTTCTCTTAGATCAAAATAAATTTTAGTTGAGTCAATAGTATTCGCTATTGCTTTAAGAAAAGTGTCTCTTTAATCAAGAAATGTCCCTTTTCAATCAAGAATTTTTGCATGAATCAAAGAGACTATTGATCTTGTAGCAAGAACTTCTTTGCATGTTCATTTTGGGTCAAGAGTGAAATACTTTGAACAGATAGATTCTTCTATTCTCTTAAGTAATTTTTTAAAGCTTATGAAAAGATAGTTAATGCTTTGGGCAAAGAAACGTCGTTCTTGGCCCTATTGAAAAGCGCCAATCTTTTGGGTCAATTAAATGGTACCTTTGCTAGGGACAGGTTCTCAGAGTCGTGGTATCAAAATGGCAATCCTGCTAACTGGAGTTTGACAAGCGGTCACATTCGCCACTCTAACCAACCATCCAAACTTGTCTTTTTATATTAATTTCTAGAATTTGTCTTTGATCATTTATTAATATAAAATTTTCCAACTTTTAAAAACATATTGACGGTCATTGTAATAGATATATTTAAATTACTATAATTAATATTCTTATTAAAATAAAGAAAAATAACTTTCGTATAGACACCGCCAAGAAAGTATCAAAAACAACATATTTTAATTGTTATATAATGCAAATTAACTCTTATTATATACATTAAAGTAAATATATCAGAAAATTGGAATAGATTAAATCCGAGTAAGGTTATTTCCAATATAATGCAGAACAAATTCTTTCGAGTGTGAGAGTGTTGTAATAAATTTACCTGGTTTTAATATCTAGTTCAACGGGCTAGATATTATTACAGAAAGGTGTTATAATAATATTAACGAGAAATATTTTAAGGTGATATTTTCGATCTTTTTTTGAATATTGCAGTTATAATTCTGGGATATTTGGGGTTTTATTGAATAATTATTTTTTCTGTGAAAGAATACGAATATTTCTTAGAAAATTAGGCAATTTGTTTATAAAGAAAGATTTAGTAACTATTATACAGGGTTGTTCACCACATACGACACGGAGTATTGTAGCTAAACGATGAGATTTTTACAAATTGTAAGTTTTGGGTTCGATGAAGGACTATTAGAGTTACAATTTAAAAATAATTTTACAAGATACAGAGTGTCCCAAATAAGTAAAAAATATCAAAGTTGTATTTTTTTAAACGGAACACCCTGTATATTATTTCATTTTTAGTTTCTACGAATAAAATAAAGGTAAATTTGATTAAGGTTTATTATACTTAAACCTTACCGTTTTTGAAATATTTTCAATTTTGTGAAATTGCAGTAAAAATTTTAAGGCTTCATTTCTCCAAGGGTATCAAAGTTTTTAATACTAAATATTTACTGAAGTTTATTTATTGATCAGTTATTTTGTTGCAATAATAAAAATAATACTACCTTATACAGAGTGCCTAAAAATTTATTTTAAATAATTATTACTTTCAAATGGCAATAACTTGTTTAATTTAAACGAAACACCTTGTATATTTTACGAGAATCAGATGCACAATTTAATTGTCTATCAAATTATATTATACCATTTTTTACCTATCTCTTTAAGTTTCCGTAGAAAATGCATTTTCTTGTAATTTAGAACTTATTTATCAATATACCCATGGAATATTGACATTTTAGATTATTTTTAAAGATGTACCAAATTTTTAAAGAGTACAGATACTAATATTGTCGATATAATTTGTTTATTTTATTAAAAAATAAAAAACTGTTTAAATATTTGTTAAAGGGGACCAATTAATATGATTCCAGTATTCAAACTACATTAACTGACCGTTTGCGTTGATTAATAATAATTGCTCTAAATACTAAAAACTGAATTTTGTATGGACAGTGTGATAAAAAGAAACACCTTAAAAATGATATTTCATTTTTTAATAAATACTTATTTATAACTACAGAGACTTTAATTTTGATAACTTATTATTATATTGATTTCTGACTCAAATCCACATTTATTTAGAATAATTTATTAACGAACATAATTAAGTATGTAATTAATTAGTATATGGGCGGAAATAATGCTGTTATATTTAATTAATGGTATACTCTTTTATAAAGATTTCAATAGTTTTCTTTTTGCATACAAATGGGTTAGTAATATTATCGTTTTGCTAAAAACGATAATATTACTAGCCTGTACATTTTGTACATTTGTTGCTTTAAAAACAATCTAAAATGTCAATATTCCATGGGTATATTGATAAATAGGGTCTAAATTATAAGAAAATGCATTTTCTACGAAAACTTGAAGGGATAGGTAAAAAATGGTATAATACAATTTGATAGACAATTAAATTGTGCATCTGATTCTCCTAAAATATACAGGGCGTTCCATTTAAATTAAAGAAGTTAATGGCGTTTAAAGCTAGAAATTATTTAAAATAAATTTTTAGACACTCTGTGTAAGGTAGTATTATTTTTATTATTGCAACACAATAACTGATCAATAAATAAACTTCAGTAAATATTTAGTATTAAAAACTTTGATACCCTTGGAGAAATGATGCCTTGAAATTTTTACTGCAATTTCCCAAAATTGAAAATATTTCAAAAACGGTAAGGTTTAAGTATAATAAACCTTAATCAAATTTACCTTTATTTTAATCGTAGAAACTAAAAATGTAATAATATACAGGGTGTTCCATTTAAAAAAAATACAACTTTGATATTTTTTATTTATTTGGGACACTCTGTATATTGTAAAAATATTTTTAAATTGTAGCTCTAATAGTCCTTCAACGAACCCAAAACTTACAATTTGTAAAAATCTAATCGTTTAGCTACAATACACCGTGTCGTATGTGGTGAACAACCATGTATATGTTACTTTGAAGATTTCCATAAAAAATGATTTTTTTGCTAAAATTTTGAGAACCACTGGATCTTTTCTGGATTTTCTTTCTTGTAAATTTAATCTATTACCTATGTTGCCATATTATCAAGAATTTGTGTTTTTTAACTAAAAACTAAAAAAGTTTCCAAAACATTTTTCCAAAAAAATTTCAAAAAAAATGTCGCTAAAAGAACCTCATAATCGTGTTTTTGGGGTCGAAATATACTACCTCTAAAAATTTTGTTTACAGTTGCTGTTTACAGTATTCTCCGATGATGGCAGCACTGGTGGAGAATTCACCAAGCCTGTAAAGGTATACGGAAATTTTAGAGCAATGATTATTCAGTAACCGTACAAGATACTTATTATTTATAGAAATTGTCTTACTCACATTCACCAACACGTTCCGCATTCAAAACGAGTTAAAAAATATATGAATTCTTTGCCAGTACCGATACAAATAACCTACCAGTAGCTATTTCAAATTTAAATAAACCTGAAGAACACACCTTCACAATGGATCTTTATTGCGTATCGTTTAGCATAAAAATGCAAGATAATTGCGAAACACATGAATAGATATTAATAACGGTAAAAAGTCAACTGAGTCGTAAGTCTAGCCTGAAAGAACGTTATTTTCTATTGATGCACACAACCAACTTATCATATATATTAATTCAGGGTTCTTCAAGCGGTTCACCTGACAGAAGAGGTAAATGTTAAAATAATTATTAATAGATCGAAAGGTTAAAGAACAGAATCGAAATACCACGAAAAATGCCATTAGTACAGTAGCTAGAATAAGAAGAATCCAACCTTCTTTTGTTAAATACAACATAAAACAATACAGTTTGCTGAAATATATTTTGTAAATCTGACAGATCTATTCAAATGCAAATAAAAAGAAAGTTAGGAACAATGCACTTAGACAAACGTTACTCAATATATCATCACATTTTCTTGAAACGATTAGAAATCTGTCGGTTAAGTTGGTAGTGTCTCTTAGTTTTTTGATGTTTTATACCAAATTATCCGTTTTATCGCCAAAATTATCATCGATTGTCTCTCCCACGCCGTCTTTGACGCCATTTTTTTTCGATCATACCTTATTACCTTTTAAGAGACCGTTATACTCGCACCGTTGCCTACTAACTATTCGTTTAAGTAATTTTGTTTTATTCAAAACCGCAACAAGATCGAAACAGAATAATTAATCGCAATTGCATCGTGGCCGATTACACAAAAAAATCATAGTTTCTCTTTGTTGCAGCTCGATATGCATAGTTTCCTCTGCTGTGGCGTTCCCTGCTCAGGAAGCGAAACCGACGACAGAAGAGAAGCCGGATCAAGAGTTCGTTTTTGTCCAGTCGTCAGGGTCAAAAGCCAAACCGATCACCAGGAAGGACAAAACAGTCGATAAGGTATAATATATTATGTAGATTTAGATTTTATTCACTATTGTGTCTCCCTTTCCTGAATTATAACTCACCATACAGTCTAAGGGCTTTGATAAAAGCCAGTATCTGAGACGGTTTTGCAAAGGTTAGTTCTTCATCTCCGATAACAGTCGTACTAAAGTTTATGACATGAGTGTTCGTCGTCTCGGCGCACTCAGTGATCAGGTGTTCTGGTGTTTCCTCATTTTATCCAAAGAATCAGTATTCGCCGTTGTTTCTTAGCTTCGATCTACGGAGGTGTTCATTGAGAAGACAGCGTCATATTAAAAGCCCCGTGACAATCCAAAGATTGTTCTTACTTAATTCAAGGAAAATAAAGTCCTGAAAAATTTCTTCCAGTGTCTTAGACCGTTGGAGCATTCCTATTCCAGGTTCTTGAGTTCAGCTTGGGAAGCAGAACGGTTCTGGTCCAGTTATTGGAGTGTTCGATGAGTTAATATTTCGTGTAAAAGAAGAGCCTTGCTGAACAAATTTATTATAGTGTCCTGATTCTGGATTAACACAGATTATTCAGTATTAAATGGTCATCTTTGCTTGTTTTTGAATATTCGCATGTCACCTACTGCGTCTGTTCTCATTAGTGATGGGAATAATCGAATTATTTTCACCATCGAATAATTAGTAATAATTCATATTTCACAATCAAATTAATAATTCGAATTATTTAGTAGTATTATAAATTTAACCTAAAAATAAATTCGTCCCAGCTAGTGCTCGTCTAGGGGCTATTTTAAACAAATTCTGAACCATTGCCATACCTATATTCTATCACTGAATAAAAAATAAAAAAAATATTCTTTATTCAATGTATTCTATTAACTGTGCCGAAGCCGTTTAATAAATTAAACCATAATTTAAAGTTTTAAATTTAAAAGTGCCGAGTTTATGATTGTTTCAATTCCTATTGAAAAGCTCATATCTAAAATAAAAGCTTCTTCTAAAACGATATAAGTATGTCCTTGTTTACGTGCGGTTCGTATTTCTTTTTAGTTTATCAGTTGCAATCAATAATTATTTAGATAAAAGAAGAAAATGAATTTTAGTGTTCGGCAGGTGTTCGGTGAAATTTGGGTGAGATGGAAATGAACCAAATAATAGTAGTATTCTTTCGTTCTGAACGAAATGAAAATTTTCACTTAAACTGATTTATTCCTACGTGATATAGGAAATAACAATGATTTCTGGATTTTTCTATATCGGATCGTTCCTTTCTTTGTCGATTCCCTTTATAAATCAGTTTAAGTGAACACATCATACATCTTTCCGTTTTCGTATCCGAGGGAAATGAGGTGCGCCACCCTGTATTTTTACTGTATTTTTTATTTCTCTTTAAGGAAAGACCATTTGAGACAGCTCATAAGCTTCCACCCTCGTTAACTTACGCTTTGAACGATGAGGAAGAAGAAACGACGTCACTTGTCAAACTTATCAAAAAGAGCGGCAAGAAGGTCCATAAAAGGGCGGCACAAAATGCCCCAGCTCCAGCACCTGCAGGTACCAGACACTTAAGACTTAACACCCTTTAGACCCTTAACACTCTTTTCTCTATTAATCGGTATTCCTAAATCCAGAAAAAAAAACTACTAGACTATTTTTTTGCTTCCAAAAACCGAAAACATTTGATCTGAGGTCGTTCTCTATCTAATGTGTTTTGTGTCTTCTTCAGGTGCTATTAAACTTAATGTCGCTAAGCTCTTAGAAAAGTACAAACAAGAGATTAAAACCTCAACTACGGAAAAACCCTCTTCCACGGCTAAAACCACCAAAGCCTCTCGAAGAAGAATCGCTAATAAACGCACAAAAAAAGAGATTAAAGCTGAAGACTCTGGTAGGAATACATCCATCATTATCTGATTTAGACTCAACAGGATTTTAAATAATTTCCAGGTATTTCTGCAACTAGCCCGAGTCCAGTTTTGACCACGTCCAAGATCGCCCCGAAGAATATCGATATGGATGTGGTTGGGGCTGCCAGTGAGAAACAGAGGTCCAGAATTCAGATTAAGAAAGGTCCTAATGGGCAAGAGTATGAGTATGAGTACGTTTACTACTATTATGACGAGGACGATGAGAAAGACAAGGTAAGTTTTGGAGGAAAATATGAAAATAATGTTGAGATGTTATATTAAAATATTCTTAGAATAGAGTGTCTTGAACCGTTGGAGTCTCCCATACCATGTTACGGCTGGAGTCTTCTAGGTTCGTGAGTTCCGCTTTAAGTTGGTTACGGTTCTGGTCAAGTTAGTGGATTGTACGCTCATTTTCTAGCTAGATCGTTTTTTTCATACTATACCAGAGTAGGAGGACTTCACTTTCTTTACCTAAATTGTTCAACTTCTCTAGGCATTCGTTGAGCAATTTCGAATTGATGGTTACTGAGTTGAACACTCTTAATGCTGCTTGACTATCGGATAAGGTGGTTTTTTCTTGTTTCCGATAGTTCCTATCTAAGATAAGTTGTATGCATCTTTCGATAGCATATATTTCTGCTTGAATGATGCTGGGGTAGGTGCCTATATTGATTCGGAGTATTTAGTTTTCGGCCCAAATACCCCTATCCCTGCTGTTTTGGTTTTGAAAGCATTAGTACCTATACCACGTTAGAGCATGTTTTTTTTCCTGCTGAGCAATCGTTTTTATTGCTAATATTTTTTTATTGCTCAATACTATAGTGGGGTGTTTCTCAAACTTGTACATTCTTGTTGTGTCATCCACTGGGAATGGAAGGTCTGTGTGTAATCCACTGGGAATGGTGTGTCATCCATTGTCGCATGGGCCGATGACAATGTGCAGTGGCGTTAGGCCTAGAATGGTCACCATTGCTGCTGTTGGGCAGGTTCTCATGACTCCTATGACGCAGATGCATGTCAGTCTCTCCATTTTGCACAAGTTTTGCCTTGCTGTACGTTGCTCTAGTTTTGTTTATCAAGCAACTCCTCCAAAATAATCATGTAGTAGATCATTTACTTGTTATTTCAGAATGAAATATTTAGATTCAGAATTTTATCACATACTCACACAGAATATCCTCTACTGTAAAAATCTAAAAAATATGAAATATAGCTAAAAAAAGACCAATTTCATCAAGGACAATTATTACTTTACAGATTACCAATGCTCACGATGGTCCTGCCAAAAACACCATCTCCAGAAGTGACAAAAACAGAGAAAAGCCGACTCCAGAAGCAAACGAAGTAGTACCATCCAGAGGCAAAGCCAGAGGCAGACAACTAGGTGAAGATGAACCCGTCCAAGAAGAACGGTTACCAGCTAATACTAGGTTGATATAATTAATTTATGATTTTAAGTCTATATATTATTTCTATCTCAGATATATCAATATTATTTTCATAGTCTTGATTAAAAAATTTAGCATAAAACAAAATGTTTTTCTTTAGGTTCCCTCCAAGAAGCAGAAACTTGAACACAACTCCAGTACCAGACGAAGACGATGATTCTAAAGTAGCTGCTAGTAGAACAAGAACCAGGGGAAAAGCTACTACAGAGTCTTCTAACGCAGAAGATGATAACGTCTCTGATGAGACTCAAGTTAGTATCACTAGAGTATTTAGAAAAATATAGTTACAGCTGGTTATGTTAAAAGCTGGAAGGGTACATAAATAATCCCGGAGTAGCGAACAGTGATAGTTTTGCAGCAAAATGTGAGAAAATTAAATTAATTTAAACGAAACTGTCATAGCCGTTTCTAGATTAAAATATGTCAAAATCTGACACATTTGTTCTGTACAAATTTTACAAAACAGAGGCTGAAGAGATTTTGACCACCCATGTGAGAAATTTCCTCTTATTTACATCATTAAATTATTTATTAGATTGAAAATATTTTATGCATTAAAGTTTACAAAAAATAAAGATTTATATAGTCGAAAAAAGTCCGATAGAACCAATAGAAAAGTAACTATTTTGTCACATCTTTAATTAAATGTTGTTAAATAAATTAATTTTTTATACTATAAATATCTTTTTTTTCCTAATCTCCTACGAACTGATATAATATGACGAGCAATCTATTAAATTACTGTGAGATTATATGCCTCGATAACATATTGGTGCAGATTATTTTCACCCAAACTATACATTGATGCGGATTGTCTATGAACTCTTTCTGAAGGTCACAGAAACCTGAACGCGTAATTCGGTGTTCTTTCGCGTCTGTTGTAGTTAATTTGTGTCTCTGTCTACTAGAAAAATATTAATAGAAAGAGGAGGGGGGCCAAAAAATCTCTTAAAACGCCTCACAGTTTCTGTAAAGTATTCACTCTAAAAACCGTTTCCAGTTTTTGACAAAACCACCTGTTTTTGGAGCCAGAGGTTTAACCCAGTTGTTTAATTGCTTACCAGGGTACCAGGGGTCGTACTAGAGCTAACGTGCGCCGCCCTTCGCTCGACCTCGTGGACAGCGAGACGTTTAACACGCACTCCGCCGCCGCCCAATCCCCCAGCTTCCCCGCCCAACTACCCGCCGGACCGGTACGTTTTTTGGGCGCCACTCCGAACGAATTCTACGACCTCCCCGTAAATGTTTTTGAGAGAATACCGAGAGATACAGCTCTTTTTTGCACCTTTTTTGAATTAATCTAAAGTCCCTTGGCTCGAGCACCCAGCAAAGCACTAACTTTCCTGAAAGAAAACTTTGTGTTACTCTCGATCAGACAGCGCAGAATATTTTTATCATGACAGAAAATCTTTAACTGTCCAAATATTGACTCCTCTGTTGATTTTACAGGAAAGTCGTAAATCGGTTTTTAAAGGTCTGGATATACTGAATACAGGGTGTCTCAGGCCTTGTTGCCTGTTCAATTTACAAATAGATTTCCGGTGAAACAGGAAGTGACCGAAGTAATTGAGTACGTCAATCAATCCTGATTTATGTCATATACTAACAGACCAAATCTAGATTTTTTGTCTGAAAAAATAAAAAAGTTATATGGATGAGTCACTTTTGACAAACACCCGTTATATAATAATGTTTTGTGCTGTCTGGTGGTTATTTTGATCATTTTTACAGAGGAGTTAGTGAAATTTAAATCTAAAACTTGCACTGGCGATCAGTACTAACATGGTGATCTGTTAAAGAAACACAAAAACATTTCAATCAATCAATATTTTTCAATTTTTCGACTATCCAATTTCAATCGTAAAAGCATTCAGTCAATACAAAACTAAAACTAATTACTATCAATTCAGATTCCACATTCAACTCATAACCGAAACAACGTCAATCTATTCTCTCAAAACCTTCATCATTCTTCACCATCAGAAAACAATACTTTCTCACATCTTTCTGGCTTCTTTTTCTTCTATTTCTTCTATTCTTCTATCTGTCCTTGCTTCTCCTGTCGCTTCTTCTTCAAATATTATCACTTTCTTTTTATGCAATAATTCACAAACGTCGGGGATAGTATCTTTGGTAGGTCTGGAGAATTTCTTCTTCTACAGAAATAAACCAAAGATAGAAACATCGTCGACGGTACGTTACAGTTTCTTTACATAAGTGCTTATATTGTTTACAGGAGGATCCAGAAGATAAAGAGCCCAGTCGTGAACCAGCTCCGGTATCAGAAAATACCGAGGAAACGAAAAAGCCTGTGCCAGAAAATGGTGAACCAACCACCCCCATGGCGGGCATGGAAAAAGTAACATATTAAAAGTATTGTGATTCTAGATAATAATGAAATTTTGTTAAAGGTTGCGCTAGATTTGTATGCTATTTCTCAAGGAACTCAGAAACTGTTTGGTGAAGATGGAACGGAGATCAGTACTGAAGATGGAAAGAGTACAGGAGAAACTGACGGTAAAGGATAAATAAGTTATTTTTTTACAAATAGTAAGGAATGCAAGAATAACAAATTAATTATTTAACTCTTAACAAATTTATTGATTGGTTTACATTATTTCTAAGTACTATTTTTAGCTTTTTTCTAAGATTCATAGTAATCTCTAATTCAAATCCTGTGAAAATGTACTTATTACAAAATAAGTATTTTAATTCTTGTAGCTACCACTCCAGAGTCATCTTCAACCGAAGAAATCGAAACCACAACTCCAACTACCACAACTACAACAACTACTACAACACCAGCACCCACCACAACTACCAGAACTACAACCACAACTACCGAAGCCCCTACTAAAGGCAATATAAACAACCTTAATCTTTTTTAAAAATATTTTAATAATATTCTCTTTACACAGCTAGCAGATTCGGTGGCAGACGCACACCCCTTTCAGGTCGCAAAGGCGGCAGTACCACCACAACCGAAGCTTCTTCTCCCTCAGAAAAACCCAAAAAGTTCGGTAGACCCAGTGGCTCCTTTGGAGGTCGTCGCAACAAACCTACGCACGCACCGGCAGTTGAAGAAGACTCTCACAAGGAGGAAAGTAAACCAGTCAGTCAAAGTAAAGTAAGTGTTCCTCGTTTATTTGTATATCTAAGTCTATAAAAGATGTTAAATTTTGTTTTTTTGAATTATAGCCAGCAACTAGAGGAAGATTCGGAGGTCCAAGGACACGTGGACGTACCACCGCTGCTCCCGAAGAGAGGAAAGACGATTCTAGTACCTCTGCGCCAACGACCAATCACAAACCTACCCTGCCGAGGTCTAGGCCTTCGTTTAACAGTTTGAAGGGTAGAGGAAGGACAACTACTTCTGCTCCTGCATCCGAAGGTATGTTATTATTATCAGTTTCACTATAGTCAGTGTCATCAGGCGTTCTTATATTATGTAGAAGACAAGATCGTACCTATTGTCACTTTCTTCTACGGATTTGCGACTCATAGATTGCTAAAGATGTTATTGTTATATCGTATACAAACTGGTTCTTTTGTATCTCCAATATATCATCATACGACTATTGCACTCTTTCTCTTTTTTCTCTTTAGTTAAAACAGTTTTAATGTTATGCTGTTTGAGGATTCGCCTGAACCTTCTTGATCCTTTTGAATATGGAATCAAAAGAGAGAGATCATGTTCCTCAGTCTAGAGAACCAAGAGATATACTATTGTTGAGGGACTTTCTATAGAGTCACCATTTTAAAGCAAATCTATTTCAAGATTATTTAGTCAGCAATAAGCAGGGCCTATTTTACCATAAGGCCCGGTGGTCTGGGGGGCCCGTTGAGGGTTGTAAAATATTCATAAATGTTGAATTTTATCGGAAAAGAGGGCCCGAATTTTTGCTTGGGCCTTAGGGCCCGACCAGATGAAAAATAGGCCCTGAGTACATGCATATTATTTCGTATATTTTTCATTTTATTGATTTTATGGAAAGCACTGTTCATGAAAATGTTGTATCCTATGTTATAGGGCTTGTTTCTCTCTACAGTTTTCTGTCTCACAATGTACCGTTTGTGTCCAGGAAGAGTTCATAGTTTCATAGTTGTCGATTTTCGAAAGAAATCAGTACATGCATATTATTTCGTATATTTTTCATTTTATTGATTTTATGGAAAGCACTGTTCATTAAAATGTTATATCCTATGTTATAGGGCTTGTTTCTCTCTACAATTTTCTGTCTCACAATGTACCGTTTGTGTCCAGGAAGAGTTCAGAGTTTCATAGTTGTCGATTTTCGAAAGAAATCAGTACATGGCAATAAGAGATAATATGCTGCTGCATATGCTGTTGGCTCGATGATATAATGTTTTGAGAGGTTGGTAAAAGATTCAGAATGTTTAAAAGTTAAACAGCTTATCACAGAATCAATGTACCCAAACGACTTTAGAGACTCTAGAGTTCTACCTTTATTTATTTTGTGTAATACCATGTTGAAGTTTGTATTTTCTTTAGTTCTAGTTATGGTGTTGAAATTTTTGTTATTATTTATTTAAATAATACATATAAGGGTTGATTGAAAAGTGCATTATTGTAATCTATTTTACAGAAGCCCCTGCTGATTCAGAACCTCAAGGCAGTTCATCGGAACCTGTCAGTACAACTACTGCCAGAGCAAGACGTGTCCTTCCTGGAGCTACAGGCAATATAAAACCCCTCAGGTAAAAATATATCTTTAATTGAAAGTGGTGTGTTTTTTTCATTAAAAAATATATATCTTTAGACCAGGACCAAGAATCAACCTAGCTGGAAGACGCGGTGGTCAAACTACCACCACCACGACAGAAGCTAGCGCAGCTGAAAATAACAGCGAAGCTGAAAATGAAGAGGAAACTCACGTTGAAGCTGCAAGCGAAAAGGTAATTCTTTTTCCCCTTCTCTGTGTCGTATAATTCAAAACATTATAAATATTAACGGTTATTCTGGCAATTGACAACTGATACTTATCCAAGGAAATCTTTGATTTTTCTCGGTCGTAACTCCTGAGAAATTTCTTTGAGTATCTTAGACTGTTGAATGTTTCACCATTCCAAGTTACGGATTGAGTCATCCAGGTTCAAGAGCTTCATGTAGGTTTCGACTTGGGAAGCAGAACGGTTTTTGTCCAGTTAGTGGAGTGTCCGCTTCTTTTTTAGCTAGATCGTTAGCTTTTTCATTACCTTCTAAAAGATAGACACCACTGGGTGGCACCCAGAGTGGGACGACTTTATTTTATTTGCCTAATTTGTTCAGCTTTTCTAGGCATTCTTTGGACAAACTTAATTAACGTCTTAATGTGCCTTCTTCCTATATCTACTTCTTTTTTGCTCCCTGTATCCTGTTCCCAGATACAAGAGAATATACAAGAAAAAAATAACAGTTCAAGATACAAGAGTTTCTATAATTCTACCGAGAGTTAAAAGCGATGAAGATACTTCTTTTACCAACTAGATTTACACAAAATTTGATAAAAATATTTTTTGATTCAAGGATGAAGCTCCAGCTCCAGCTCCAGTAGACAACAGTCCACTGGGTCGTCTCCGCAACAAGCAAAATCGCGTCAACGTTCAACCTAAATCCAAGTCAACACCAACGGCTAGTGCTAGTGCTCAAGTGCAAGTGCGCAGAGTGAATCCTTTGCTCGCCAGAAGAAGACCTGGAGCCACTACTGAGGCACCATCGAGCGAAGCTCCTTCCAGTGAAGCTCCCGAAGAAGGTATTTGATTAAAAACAGTCATATACTTTAACACATTACACCAATAGAGTTGAGGTTGGAATCTTTAGTGTTAGGACAGGACAATAATACATTAGTTCATCATAATACACCAAAACACCTTACTTTTAACGTTGGACGCGTGTTTGGTTAACCATGTTAGCATCATCGGCAGTTGATTTAAATTCTAGTTAATAATAGTATATTACCTACCGAGGATGAAAGTGTTTCATTACTGTCTAGAGATTAACTAAATCTTGAGACAATAATGAAAACTTTCCTTCGAGGTTTGTATACTACACACACCGGAAAAATCTAGGGATATCATTTTATTAAAGTTAAAAATAAATGTTTTGAATAAAAAACCACATATTTGTAGGCCGATTCTTTCTACTTGTATAGTACCTACACTGTATAGTACCCAGGTACCTACTTAGTATTTTTTCCACATTATGGTTAACCTTCACATGCAGTGATTAAAAAAGTATTTTCTTATCGTTGAACTAAATTTAAAAATGCTAATACCTACTCATATTGCTGTTTTTTTATTTCAATTCTAATATTTGAAAATAAATATGTTTGATGTTTTGATGAATATGAGGATTTAACTTGAATTTTATCTTACAAAGTAACATTTATTAAGAAAGGACATATTTATTTAGCTGAAGAAGCGGAAATTGAGACTGAAGCAGCTCCCAGTTCAAGTACCACCACCGAAGAACCAAAAGGGCTCAGCAAACTACTGGCCGGTAGGAGACGCGCAGGCGCAAGAGTACCGGGTACCATCAGCCACAAGTAAAACAAAGGCTGAACCATTTTTGAACGATAAATTCTAGTGTGACAAAAATCAGACTTTTTTGAAATTCGAAAAAAATATTAAGATATCTCATAGGTACCATCAATAATTTAGCCTAATATTGTGTTGTGTGTTTTTGTAAACTCTGATTTGTTTGCTCTTTTTTTGAAAAACAGAGTGATATAAAAATGATTAATTTTTATATAGGGTGATTCACGACGTTGCGTTGGTAGGTTAGACGTTTAATGGTGACATATATACATAAAGGTCTAACCTAACATCGTCATGACTCACCCTGTATAAAATAGCGAGCTGTGACTTACATTATAAACAAACACCTTTCATAGGAGACTCCCCCTAACTGCCTTTTAGGTTTTTCTAAATTTTCTTGTACTGTACATAATCTAAGAACAATAGTATTTTTCTTACTACTTGTTTTCTCATCATTAGGTTTTTTTTAAAAACCTAATGAATAGAAATAATTCTCAGATCTTCTTTAGCAAAAGTTTTTGTAATCTTTCCTAGTTTTTAGTATATACCACCTATTCAGCCTTTCAGAACTTATTTTTAAACTATTTTTTAGATTTAAGTCTAAAAAAAATAGGCAGGCCTGACATAGTGCCAATATTGTTAGAATTATGATTAATGTATAAATATTTATATGCGTGTTCTTTATTTTTTTATATCTTATCCTTTATACTGATATATTTCAATTTAATAAAAAAAATATTGCTAAACATTTTTAAAAAAATTGTATGTAATTTATTGTATTTCTATAAGTATCTCTTTTTTGTTATTCCGTATTTTGTATGTTGTAAATAATAATGAAATAAGGACAATAAATAAAACAAAACGAAAACAGTGTTTAATAGTTTTATTGTAAGGTATAAAAAAGTTATAATCTCTCAAAAATCTCTATAAATATTGGAATGTGATGTATCTTGATCACTCCAAAAAATAATTTATTATATTTAAAAATGACTTTTTTAAACGTATATTGCATTATTTGTAACATTTAACAAACAATATTTAGAATATTGAAGTATTATAGTACGGGTTTTTTTATTAAGTATCTACTTTCGCTATAATTCAACAAGTTTATAAAATTAACATCTTTAAAATAAAAAAAAGGTAAAGGTATGTTTTAAGTGGTTGAAAATGTTTAATTATCTGATATTCTCTAGTGTATAATGTGATGTAGCGTGGATTATACTGAGTATATACAGGGTGGTTCCAATACTAGACAACGTTCGCTGTATCTCGGTAACCGTTAATGAATTGAACTAAAGGAACAAATATTCATAGGTAAAGAAAAATTGCTCTAAAAATTGTTTGAAAGGTGGCAAAAGTATAGACGATATCGATATTTCGAAACAACTATCGATTCTTTGGAATATCGATGTATTTAGACGTCCCTAATATAGAAAAAATTTTCAACCCTTAAACACAGTTTTATCAAGAAAAGTGAGTGTTGTGGCGTCACGTGGATTTTACTGCTTATGTACAGGGTAGTTAAATAAAACAAAGGAGTTAATGATAGAACGAAAAGAAATAAACTTTCGGTGTAATTAATTAGGTTTGAAAGCTGGTAAAACTACGGACAATATCGATATTTTAAATAGCTATCGATATTTTAATACCTCGATAATCTAGGACGTCTCTAATATCGAATATTTTTAACTACTTGAAACAAAGTTTTATTCAAAAAGCGTATACTGTGACGACGCGTGGATTATACTCCGTATATACAGGGTGGTACAATAATAGAGGACGTCGGTTGCAACTTGAGAACCGTTAAAAAATATTTACATTTAAAAAATTGGTCAAGAAAAATAGCCGTAAATATTTTGTTTGAAAATTAACAAAACTATTACCATATCGATATTTTAGATACCTATCGATATTTTAATATATCGATAATGTTGGCCGTCCCTACTATCGATATTTTCATGTCTCGATAATCATGGACGTCCCTAACATCGAATTTTATTTTCAACCACTTAAAACACATTTTTTTACTAAAAAAGGGTAACGATAAAAACTTACAATCTCTTAACAATAATTAAATAAAATCTAAGATTCATCTTGCCTGAAAAATAATTAGGTTTTTTTCCTCTAGTACGAAAAAATAAATACTACGTTGTAAATTCCGACCATTCATATTTTCCTGATTCGTTTTTGGATTAAATTAGCTGATGATAACACTTTATCATCACGTTCTTGAGCCACGATATACAGGAAAACTCCCACAATGACAGTGATGGTACCCAGGCCACTTAGTGGTGTTACTGGATTGCCAAACATAAATACTGACAGCCATATTAAAAACGCACGTTTTGCTGTATTAGCCACACTAAAAAATAATTCAAATTAAATATATCAGTAATTTAGTGTATACAGGGTGTCTAAATTTCGTGGCTGAACTCGAAAAACATAAGAGATACAAAAATAAACCAATAAAATGCCGGTTTGCAAATCAAAAAAAATCCAAATACTTGTAAAGATTGTTTTTAACATATACAGAGTATCCCAAAAATGTACAACCATATTTCAGGGAACGATTCCTCATAAAAGAATATGAAAAAAAAATCTTATAGATATGGGTCCAGAAATGGCTAGTTTTACAGATACCTAGAATGTTAAAACTTTTAAAAACTATATTTTTTTTGTAATTATTACACATTTGTACATTTTTTTCACAATTAGTTTCGATAAGGTGACCCCTTTCCCACTGAAGTTAATAATCGTATTTGGGACATCCTGTATACCATAATAATATTTATTTAAAACCCATTACGGACAGATTGAATTACCTGTGTGTAACTGGACTAATGTAATCCATCAAAACATACGCTGTAATACTTTGAAAGTGAAAAAACACTCCATTCAATACAAAGAACAGTACCACATTATAACTAATATTTGATAGATTCAACTCTGTAAGGAACAGAGTTGCCGGTACTTGTATCACAATACTGGCTACGCTAGTGTAAAACTGTAATTCTGCAGGGCTGAAAAAAATATTACTTTTACAATAATTTGTTTCAAAGTAAATAAAGCAAAATAAAGTTTAATAAAAAATATATACCTAAAACTAAGTAAAAAAAGTAGCTGTGGCAACATTGCAACGTGCATTCGTCAAACATTTTGATGACGTCACGCCAACTTTTATTTAGTTTCCTATACCATTTTTTATTAAACTTAATAATCATAAATAAAACAGAAAAAATATCCAACAGATACAAAATTTTTGAACAATATGGCCCAGAGGCTTATCATTATTTGCTCTAGAATATTATCTATGCCTATAAAGATTAGGATATACATTATCTATAATATTTAATGTTTGTATATTGATTAAATCATAGACAGACAATAAAATTATTAAATTAATTATGGATAATTTAGTAAATTTAATAAAAAATTTAGAAATACTTCATTCTTCTAAATGTCAAAGAATAATACCCATTTAAAGACCTTCACATTATTTAAATGTAATGACCTGTTACCTCACTTTAAGTAAAAGTGAAAGTATTATTTATTATTGAAGCATCATAAAGTAAAGAGAAATCTTATTATACATGCAGTTAGAAGTAAAAAACCTCATAAAAATTTGTACTTACTTATACTTAAACTTATCCCCTGACAGTAACATTTTCGAGTATACGTTCTGTATACATTCAGTTAAATTTGTAGCCATAGCTGCCATGAATCCTATAGCATCGAAACTAACTTCATTTATCGAACACAAAGCTAACCCCGCCATAACGGGCAGTAAGCTGAGATTTACATATAAACCAGTCTGTTCACCTTAAAAAATCAATTAAATCATTGCATAAAAACATTCTTATATACCTTACCTAATATAAATCTAGATATTAACACAGTAAATAACGGAGCTGAGCTCTTAATAGTTTCTGTAAAACTAACAGCTACGAAATTCAACGCTACCAGACCTAGAACGACCGTTAAAAACCTAGTACAGCCTACAAAAATCATATGTTTATAAAACCCAGGTGGTTTACTAAGTCGGTGTAACGTTTTGTACATTCCGCATGGAAAATACAGCTGAATAAAGCCACACATGGCGGTCATAAGCATTTGGCATGCACCTAAAATATAACCCTATGTTTACTTTATACAGAACAGCTGTTCTAGTTGTATTGTTACAAAAAAATATTTTATAATAGACTGATCACTTACCTAACACCGTTGGATTTCCATTAAGGGACGTTAGAATGTACTTATTCAAAAACAACGTGCAACCGCTGAAAAAATACCACAATAAAAGAAATATGATGGCTCTGATATTACGGAGGCCCCTTTTCGCTGGCTGGGCCACCAGAGAATTGTTTAGCGGTTCCGGTTTTTGATTTTTCTCTTTTTGAACACCATTCGATTCCACTTTCTTTTCATTTTGGGGAATTAGATTTTCCATTTTCTACCTATTCAGTTTAATCTGCGTGTTCATCGCGATAATCTCTGTTTTTTAATGAGATTTGAAGAAAGGTTTATGTGGAAAAAAGTTACGTTACGTCAAAACAATTTGTTTATAACCCCACTTTTTCACATCTATAAATGTCAGTTGGAGAGATTTCTTTTTGAGAAAGATGTGTAGTTTCGTAAGTTGTCCATAGATGACCTGTATATTTGGTTGCATAACTGAAAAAGTATATTTTTCAAATTTTCAATTTTTTATATTTTTTTAAATAAAACTGATTTTAAATTAATTATATTCTTTAATGAAGCGACTTTTTTTAACTCGACATTAATCCCTTGCAAGTTAAAGTAATTGGACTAGAAGTAATAGAATTCTTATCAAGGGTTGTAAGTGCGATTATCTGAAGCCCTTTTTGCAATCAATAATGTATCAGGCGCATGCTTCTAAGGGAAAATCAAGTTTTCCTTGGTGTTTCTTGAATATTTCATTCGGATAAAGAAAGATACAAAAATTTGACCACTTATAGAACAAAGATATCGAGCTTTCGGAGTTATTTTCGATGATTTTCGGCATTGAATTGAATAAGGACGGGTTAAAGGTCGAATGTTTAGGGTCAATTGGCAAGGGTAGAAAGAAAAAGGTATAGTTTAGAGTACTCAGGAAGGAAATAGAGCTACTCGGGGCGGAAATGAGACTAGATTTGAAGGGAAAAGCTGAAAATTGAAGCAGTCGTGTCGGAAAATCACGGGCGCGACCATGACTCTATTATCAGCTCTATTTTATAACTAATTCTCATTATCCAGCTCTAAAACTCTTCGTGTTACCGTATATTACTATAGCAAAGCTTCTAAAAATACCTCAGTAAATTTTTTAAGTATTTTCTCTAAAAAATATCTTGAAAAAAATGTCAGCGAGTCGATGTGTAATTAGAATAATAAGAAAAATAGTTTCTAGGATTAGAAAAGTTAACGTTTTTAATCACAATAATAACAAATACGTTTTGGTTCAGTAACTATTAAATTTTAGCTAGTTTTACTCCAATATATTTAGATATAATTTCGTCTAGATCATTGCTGTTAAATATGTTAGATGAAGAGCTTTAAAAATAATTACTTACTTACTAGATATTAGTTTATTCCTAAGAGTAAATTGTGTAATCCTGTGTTATGAAATCAAGAAAGTATTGAACAAGGTAAGTCTGTATTAATATTAATTTAATCAAAAAGTTCATGTATAATTGATTATTGTATTTATTTCTAGGTCTATTTTCTTTAAAAAATTTTTCACTTTCAAAATCTGTCAATTTGCTTATTTTAAATATTCTTTTATGTTTTTGCTTAGGTATTTTTTTATTTTGTCTATACAGGGTGAGTCTTAAATACGTGCCAATATTTTCAGGACTGGTAGATCTCGAAAAAAGAAATGTATTTTCTCTTTGCTGTTAAATTCTATATGAAATTTTGTTTTATACTGTGTATCTAAGTTTAGCGGTGTTAGAAGAAATTTAAAATTTTTACCAAAAATAACGTTTACAGAGGAAAAGATTAAATAAGAATGAAATATTTTACAGCATGAGTGTATAAATTTTTGATACAAGAAAATTGATACAATAATATACAAAAATACCGTATGATCGAGAAAAAAAGACGGCGTCAGAGATGGCTATGAAATGAAGATCGCTGTCATTTTATACAGGGTGGCCCATCGAAAACGTTCCGCAAGGCATAACGGCCAGGGTAATTTTTTTTTCAGAAAATCCTGATGAACTGATGAACAGTTTATAATCATCTGCTGATGATGCTAACATGGTTAGCGAAACGCGCGTCCCGTGTAAAAGTAAAAGTGTTTTGGTGTATTGTGGTGATTTAGTGTTTTTATTTTGCTATAATATATGTATGGAAAATATCAACGATCGTCATTTCCAAGCCAACTGGACGCCGTTTTCTTTTCGATCATACGGTACTTTACCCAACGAATACATTTGTTGGATAAAGAGTAGCTTTACCCAAGCTCAAATAGATAGTGTATTTCTACGAGCTTGTGTGTTGTGTGAATACCATTTTGTAGAAATTTATATAAAATATTCATGAAAACTGTTATTTTTAATCATAAATTTGCATTTATATTGTTTTTCCATGGTTTCCCTTTGAAGGATAAAATATAGGAACTCTGAATTTCAGAGACCTAGAAATATATATAGAAAACCAAGGTCTGTTGAGTAAAAAACAGTGTTAATACTTTATAGATTCCATTTTGTATAAGTAAAATACTTTATTTTTCAAAAAATGTAGTATTTTGAAGTAAGTAAAACACACTTATTACATAATATATATATTAATTAAATATTATTATTTATTACTTAATATATATTTATTTAGGTATAGACATTTTTACACTTAATATATACTGTATGATAAAAAAAAACGGCGTCAAAGAGGGCTGGGAAATGACAATCGATAATAATTTTGGCGAGGTCAATCCCTAGACACTATTTACTAAAAACTGTGACATAAAACTTGTCAAAAATAACAGTAATTATAGAAGAATTAAAAAAGGATTGAACGTTCCAAATCCAGAAATTTATTTCCAAAAAAATATTTTTCTGGAATTTTAAATTACACCACTTTAAAATCATTTTTAGGGTTGCGTACCCAAAGGGTAAAAACGGGAACCCTATTACTTGACTTCGCTGTCCGTCCGTCCGTCTGTCACGAAGGTCTATCTTATGAACCGTTATAGCTAGTCAGTTGAAATTTTCACAGATAATGTTGCCGCTATAAGAACAAATACTAAAAACAGAATTAAATAAATGTTTATAAACAAAAAACTACTTTCACTAAACATTATCTTTTAAGTAAGAATTTTACATAGAATCTTTCAAGTCCTCGGTGGCCGCGTGGTTAAAGCGCGACTTTACGCTGCTATGACGTTGGAGTCGTAGTAAGGCAGGTTCGAATCCTAGCCAAGGCGACTTTTTTTTAATCGTTTTTTTTAATTTTTACATATTTATTTTTACTTTTTACATATTTATTATTGATCAATACAATTTTTAGTAATGTGTTTCTTCATTTTTTTTAATTACTTATACGCGTATTCAAAATTTCAGCCAAATCGGAAAATAAAGTTTATAACAATATAGTGTCTATATATTGTTGTATAGATAATGAATGGTATGGAACTTGAAAAATGAATTAAAACCTTCTTAAGGCCAACTGGCAGTAAGCGCCATAAAGAAGAGAAGAGTACGAGCATAGTAAGTGACGTCTACGGCTTGACCTCGTCAAAAATATCATAGATTCTCATTCCTCAGCCGTCTTTGACGCCGTTTTTTTTTCGATCGTTTAGTATATTGAATAATTTTACTTAACAGAAGTAAATGTACCTAGTTTAAAGTACTCCAAAGTACTACTGTATATAGGTCTAAGTTATTATTCCAGATATAAATAAGGAAATGGTTGAAAAAGGTCAACAGCTTTTCCTTTCAATTAGTTAAGTAAATAATACATTACGGCCTGTAATACAACGTTTTATTTCGTTGAACCTTCAAATAATTCATAGTACAGAGCTTATCACAGAAACAAAATAATAGTAATTAACCAATTATTATAGTTGGTGTTTTCCGCCAGCGGTGTTACGACAAATTATGTTTATTTGCCTCCAAATTGAATTAAATTACATTGTATTATTACAAAAAATTGTGTGTGCATTATGTGCACATATTTGAAGCCAAACTTCTTCATATTTCCGTCTGTCTGTCCGTCTGAGAACTCCATTCTGGCACCTCTATCCACGTGTCGAGTTTGGTTCCAATCGACCCATAATTAAGAAAAACCTTGATGATTTCGTCCATTTAGAGGTATCGGTTCAAAACGTCGAGGGTGTCATCCTGTAGCCCGTCCCCAATTATGCCGAAATCGACCAATAAAACACTAAATCACCACAATACACCAAAACACTTTTACTTTTACACTGGACGCGCGTTTCGCTAACCATGTTAGCATCATCAGCAGATGATTATAAACTGGGTTATATATATAACATGATTAGCGAAACGCGCGTCCAGTGTAAAAGTAAAAGTATTTTGGTGTATTGTGGTGATTTACTGTTTTATTTTGCTGTGTAGCACCAAAGGTTCCAACCCTCAACTGTAATCGTTTCTTACGTCAAAACTAACTGTCACAGTGAAACGTGCCTTACACGGTCAAGTTGGTCTTGGTCTAATCTATTGACATATACCAAACATAATTTAAGTCGGATGATTTCTTGATTTGATTCATTGATGATGGGATTTCGTAGCACACGAAACGTCGGCAAAATATCATGAAAAGATCGTTACCATTTTTCTTCTTGCGTCTTGTGTGTCACGGCCTTCAATTTTTACTCCTATCGCACGTAAAGAAGTTTCAATTCAAAAAATACTTGTGAAACAATTAAAGTTCAATTTTTTTTTATTAAATCAGCATTTTTTTTTATAAAAACAACAAGTTGGTTTCTGGTGTTATTGGTACTTGTATTCTTTAGTCATTTTTTTTGGTGTATTTTTTGTCCTCCATTCGCGAATTTCAAATTCCAGAGCTTTACGCCCTGGGCTGCTCAGAACGGTTCTGAAAGGAGCTGTGCGCGATATAGCCTGGTGTCTCCATATGGCCCGGAACAGTTCTGATCTTTCGGAACAGTTCTGAAACAAGGGTATTATTAAGCTTTTTTTTATTTTTTTTTTGTTTCTTCTTGTATAATAAGACAATTTTTTTCCTTTTAACTATTAACCGATTTTTTGTGCAAATCTCACTGTCTTAATCTCATCTCGTTACATTTAATCACTCTCATTTTTCTAAATATTCATTCCCTGATTTGCATAAAACAGCCTGTGGCGCCTGTCGACTATTTCTTCTCCTCCAAACTATTATTCGACTGACTGATGTAAACAAACAAAATGCTAATGCGTTTCAAGAGCACCATGTCGATGATGATGAACTCTCCTTATCACTTCTATTATTTTGCATCTATCCAGTTTCAGTATCGCAAGCACCAGCGAGCGTGCGAGACAAAAATCTTGATAGTCTCGTAAAACTGTATCGTTTGGCGTGCAAACGCTTCGTGAGATTTAGTTACTAGTCTGATAGTCTGGTAATACTTCGGTTGTTAGGTTTGTTGAGTGTAGTGTATATAAGGAGCTTTTATGCTGAAAAGAGATAGAATCAGTGAGGTGGTTGGTGTGCTTTTTACTTAGTTAAAAAGCTTTTCAATGGAACCCAAGTAAGAATTATTTTCTATTTTCAACTTGTAGATGTATTATTTTATGTCAACAATATTTTCTTCTATTTTCTATTTATGTTTTAGCTTTATAATTATGTTTCTAATATTTTTGTTTAAAATCTCTTGAATTCTTAGTTTCTTTTTTGGTAAAATTTTGAGAACCACTGAATCTTTTCTGGGTTTTCTTTCTTGTAAATTTAATCTACTACCTATGTTGCCATATTATCAAGTCAAAAAATTATGTTTTTTTAACTAAAAACTAAAAAAATATCCAAATTTTTTTTACAAAAATTCCGAATTTCCAAATTTTTTTTTCGCGAAAAGAACGTCATAGGCTTGTTTGTGGGGTTGAACTATACTACCCGTTAAAATATTTGCACTTATTTCTGGGACACCCTGTATAATATCTGATGTAATCAACAATATTTTTCTTCTATTTATGATTTTTGTTTCTACTATTTTTGTTTTGTAATTTTTCACGTCTTTTGTATATTTTTTGTTGTCAAGAGCATCTTATTTACAACTATAATTACAGGATGTTCGAATAATGCAGGGCCAAATTTTAGAAGGTGGTTCCCCAGAAAAATATAATCCTGTATCTTTTTTTTTATGAGGAATTACTTCCTGATATTTGGTCGACATTTTCGACCACCTTGTATATCTAGTATTACGTTATAACTGATGTAACGAGATTTAGTTATTACTCTGCCCTGGTAACAATTTGGTTGATTAAATTTTTTTGTGAAAAAATGTTCAACTCTGTTAATTTAGGAGAAGGTTTTAAAAATACTAGTAAGGACTTTTCAGTGGAATTGGAGCAAGATTATTATCCATATCATACAGACTTTTTTAAACTACTTTTTGGTTTTGTCTTTTATTATTGTTGCGATGTATGTTTATATGATTTTTACACATTTTTTAGACATTTTAGAATAA